TGAATCAAATAACAGTACCATGGAATCGATTCTCTTCAGAGATAGGAAACACGTAAAACAAAGCTCAAGATTCGAGTACAGTGGAGGATCAATTTAAACTGGAAAAGGATAAAACCATGAATGTCTTGGAACAAAGAGGGATGTAAGTAATCAACATTGAACTCACAATCCAGAGCTCATTCTAAGGTCCAATTCGGTATTTTTGGGCTAAGATTTTGGGTTATTTTGGGCCATTGCCCTGTTCAGTGAATCAGCCATGGCCTTATTAAACAATAAGTCTAAATTTCTGGTGGACCTGGAACAAACTTCTGATGTTTGGTTGAGCAATGTACCATTTCCGGCCTTTTGCTTGTATTTTCGGACTGTTCATCCCTACAAATCCAGAGAGCGTTTTAGTAAGTGGTACATCCACATTTTCCTAAAGTTTGAGCCATCACACTGTCATGTTGCATTTCCAGGATAACACATGATTGTATATGTATGAATCCTTGCTTCCCCATAAAAAAAACACACAAAAACTTGGCTGTCCCTAAGAACAGATGTGGAGCTATCATCACTGTAAGCTTGTCCTAAATGTCACAAGGGTTTTGTTTTTTGACAGTTCTGGGCTCTCTTAACACCACCACCCCTTTTGAGTCATGCCGAGAAACAAGATAATTTGGGTTGTGCCAATCCTATCTGATCGAAGCAATGACGTACATGTGCTATCCTTAAAGTTGGTATATCCATGCTCTGCTGAAAAAAAAATCTTTAAAACTGGAATTCTCCCTACTAAGGAACATGGAAGAAGATTTTTTTTGAAGTATTTCCCCCTCCCCATTGCAACCCCGACAAAAAAAAACAGGCAAAAACACCTCACACTACATTCTGTCTGGTCTTGAAATGTTTTCAGGCTTGAAATGAAACATACATTTTGAAGATGAAAGCTGGATTGACCCAGTTGGAATTAGCAGCAGGACACTCTAATGCAAAATTTGAAACGTGTTCTACCGGTATCTGTTGCTTTAAGTTTTTTCCACGGCTCACTGAAAAGCTTGTAACTGGGGTAATACTAGAAACTTAGCGATTCAGTTAACAAAGTATATTGTTTTGGGGTTCACTCCAAAACTCTCCATTGTCTCGTTTGATTGTCAGGGTGTGGGGCCTTGGACCGGAGTAATAAATGAGCACACCAAAATGTTGAGAACACTTCAAAGGGTTCATTTCAATTTGCGTGATGTCAAGTCGATGCGATTAGCTTTATAAGCTGTGGCAGCATGTTCACTTCCATAATCGGATTTTCTCGAATGTCTGGACCAAATATTCAGACTAGATTACAACAGCACAGCTTCCATGAACATTATCCTTTGTATTGGTAACTGTGCGCTAATCCAACAAGTTTTTACAGGGGAGTTCAGCTCTCATGACATATCAACACAGAATTAACAAAGCAGAGGAGGAAAATACAACACAGCTGGTGTGGTTTTTTTTCGGCAGAGAGAGTAACTGGCCGCAAATCCAAATCAGTTTTCGTGACAATTTGGTTCTCGTGAAAGGAAATCATGACAGAAATAAACGCAAAAGGAAAATAAAAGAAAACTGGTGGATTTTGCAAGGAAAATGAGAAATAGTTTCACTTTAACTAATAGTTCTCTCTTTTTACTGGTATTATAGTCTTTCTCCTCTGTGTTAAATGCCTTTTCCCCTGCCCAAGGATTAGGGTTGTTGCGAGGTTTTTCATTGTCCGGGCCGGCAATATGGGGGTCCATTGTCGGCCACAGACGGCTTAGCCTCCGCATGTCAGTATCGGTTACAACTCAAGAAGCGGCTGGATGTCTTGTGATGGGTTTCTATTCAATTCGTTAAGGGGCTCGGGGACTGGTGCCCATTCTACTTAAATCTGGCCATTCTTGGGTTTTTGTCCTTTTTTTTCTTCTCTTCCTCGCCTAACGTTGAGTCATTTTAACCGTGTTCTGGCCTGTCAAAGTGTACGGGTGGAACCTGCTGCGGTTACATTAATTAGATAAAAGTGCAGGGGTTACAGCTAAAAAGAGATAGCGTATCCCAAAATAGTGGGGGTTTTTTGCTTTCTTTAATTATTTTAAGTTACAATTTCTTGACACCAACGTCTTATGGTGAGATTGATGCCGGATGCGGCTACAGCCCCACCCAACCCTCCCTCCCTCCCTCAAAACAAAATTCCGCGCTTAAATCATCTGGACAGTTTCTTACGTCACTTGTTATAACTTTAGGCAAAGAAGAGATTGTGTGAAAAATTCCAAAAGTTTGAGTAGTGTTCCTTTGCAATTAACTTGGATACAAGGGAAAAAAGCTTCCTTATCCTTAAACGTACACGTACATACTTGTAATTAACATGATGGTGTCTTTCAAATTAGGTTTTGCCCTACTCAGTGTGTTACCTCCCGAGTGAAAGTTGGAAAAAAATCACTCGGGTGGGACTCGAACCCACGACCTCCTGCTTTCTAGTGCAGATGTCTTACCACTCAACCACCGAGCTAACAGGATCAGTTGGCTGGTTCGAATCTGATGTACATATAGCAGCGGGTACCGCATTAACTATTCATAAGATAACACACTGAGTATACAGTGTTCATATATCTGTGAAGGGCAAAACCTAATTTGATTTACATCACCCCGACGCAAAATTCCATCTTACGAATGATGGTGTCTTGCTATGCATTAACTTTTTTTTTCATAAAACTATGAAAACTCTTGTTACAACATATATACAATGAATTTTTAAGGAGAACATTTCCCGCCTAAATATTTACGTACAGAAAAAACTGCAGCATTGAAGTATTACACTCAGTGGTATCACACATTTGGCCACTTGTCCATTACACAGATAGACCTATACCACCCAGTTTAAAATTGACACGCAGTTTGAACAGCTTGTGACATTTAGGCTTTTAAGATTTTAGGAGAAACTGGGGAAAGGGTAACTGCTTAACCAAATGAAACAAAAATGAAACACAAAGAGAACTAAGCTTGCACATGATGTCAAAAGCAGTGTAATTCGGGATTGGAGAGTTGTATTTTTGTTTCATCATGCATTTGTATGTTCTGTTTCCTGTTTCAACCTGTTTCATCATGTACCGTTCATGTATGTACTGTAGAGCTGTCACAATACAAAATACTGTGGCCCATCACTAGGACAAAGATGTATTTCAAATATTTCATCAAAGACATATACATTGTATGTGAGGTGTTCTGGCAACATGAGATGGAACTGCAATTGCACAGGCCATTGTGGAGAAATGCAAAAATCTGAATGGGGGATGATTTGTTTTCATTTTCAGATTTACTCATATTTGTAATCTTTGATATGTCTACTACGCATATGTTAAAGATTTAGTATAAAGTACATGTATGTGGAATAAAAGTGTTTTGAAGGAAAAACACCTGGCATCTTTCATTTTTTACGAATACAAAACTCAAAACTTTAAAGGCCTTTCCCTCAATACATGCATTTTACTTTTGTCACTGACATGTCGATTAATGCGAACTTTAAACAGCCATAACTTGTCAATAGAATGTCCGATTGAAGTGCAACAAACAGTATTGTAAGGAAAATTGTATTGTCTTTCCTCCAAACTCTCATTTCGACCTCTGCCCAGTTCTGTCTTATTTTGCCAGAATGCCTCATGTAACTTTGTATGTAACTTTGTGTCTTGCCACAAAGAAGAGTTCTTTCACACTGACACTCTTTGCATAAATAACTAACGACGGATCAGCTTCTTTTCTCAATCCGCTCAAAATTCCAAAAAATGTTGGAAGGTCAAGACAACAATACCATGTGAGGTCACTGCAAACAGTGAAGCCCCAAAAACGGCACTTTGGCCAAATGGCAGACAACAGCAACAGGTTTCCCCATGGACACATCAATAAAATGCCGTCTTTTGTGGAGATAATCTGTTTAAACGTCTCGGCTCTTTGGGCGATTCGGGCACAGTCAAGTGACTTAATCCAATGACAGGGATTATGTTCATGATACAGGATTAAGGAGGATTAAGATTGCTCAATGGTGGGATGCAATTTCTAATGGTCCAGTTGCAATATTCTAAATCGTATATTTCTCTCAAACCCCAAAGAAAACAACTTAGAAAATTATCACAATGGGTCAATGAACTACAGGACAATGACCTTTTTTTTCCCACGGGATATTTTCTACGGTTTCATTTTGAATGACTTTGTTATAAAAAGGAATGTGAGGAATTAAAGGTATGTTTCACTTTTTCTGAGTTCTCAAATGTTAAACAGTTTTGGAGACATTGTGAACAAATTGCATCAATGTCAAAGCACCATAATTCCAAAGTTCTCTTTCCAAGATTGTCACAAATTTAGCGATTCAACTGTGTGTGTTTGGTGCAATCAAATGAGTCATGATGATTCAAGTTTTCAATTGATGTCTACACTTGTCTATACATGTCTTCATAATTGTCGATTCAAGATAAGATCCAAATCATTTTCTGGCAGCGTTGAAGCCAATCACACGTCATCACTAATGAATCACAACTCATCACAACTTAAAGGTAAAATACAACATTTTCAAATATCAAAAAACAAAACTACCATATTATTATGAATACCTTACTTGACCGTGAGTGAATAATACTCTAGTATCTCAAGCATCCTGTGAAATAATGGCACCTGGTGTGCTGTCATTTTCAAGAAAAGTGGAATTTTTGTTTCAATTTCCAATGATGGTCGGCTGACCATCGTTGGAAAAAAACTGCCTGGTGATTAATTTGAGGCAGTGTTCTAGTCGAGTTCATCATAAGAACATCACACGTCTGGTCACTAGTAAATCACAACTCAATTCACAAGTCCAGTCACAAGTATCAAGGGATGAACAACGACAAAAAATAATGCTTTTTTTTCACAGGTGTGCCTTGACTCATGATGTACTTGTGACTTGTGATGCACTGGTGATGGACTTGTAATGGACTTGTGATGGATATCTCAATTACAACTCTGTTTTCTAAGGCTATCATATTCACCTTGAGCCCAGCCTCATAGTTGTGCTGCATCATCAGATTGGCGCCCGTCGTATCGCTGGCGCCCGCGTCCGTGGTATCAATGAAGTCCCTTGTGAAGTACATGCCATAGCGGATGTTATCCGAGCAGCCGCCCCAGGCCCAGTCCTCCACGCCTGAGTCCTTGTTGTTTTTGCGCCCTCTAGACTGGGCGCACCCGCACTCTACGACCTCCCCGCTGCCGCAGGCCCGGGTGACGTGGAAGGTGATGCTTGCTGATGTCATGCCTTGGAGAAAAGACATCTCACGGTTTCCTGAAACGGAAAGAAATAAAAGGACGGATGATGAAGTTTGTGATAGAAAGCCGAACTACAAAATCAGTGCAAAAGTACCCTCTCAATGGTTTCGAAGAGAAACTTGGGAGGGACCACTGGGAGGAATCTTGAATGCTTTGCTGACAGCGTCTGATGCTCATGTGAAGACGCTACGGTTTGATCACACTCAGAATAAAACTAATGGGAGACTTTTGAGACGTTGGTGGCAGCAATCACACCTCTTCAATTGTCCTCTTCAGGTCCTCTTCAATTGTTCACGTCATGTTTAAGCTAAAGCGTGCATGCTCAACATGACGCAAACAATGGAAAAAGGACCTGTCTGTTTGCTGCCACCAACATCTCAAATGTCTCCGTATTGCCTATGTGCGTGGCCCAGTATGCCCATGCAGCGTGCCCCCTCCCCCTCCCCAGAGAGCTCTCCTGCACGATCATCAACGGTCATCTACTATTGCACAAAGTCCATAAAGCACGGTGTATTCAAATCAGATTTTCAAAAATAAAACTGATAATGGCATTAGGTACAAATTCCACTTTAGCAGTTTCATTACAAGAAAACTGATTTTGGGAAAGAAAAAGGTTGAATTATGAACTTGATAATCGGAAGCCACCAATCAGTACTAATTTGTAAAGAAGGTATTTTGAATCAGGGACATGTAAATTCTAATATTGATGTGCTATTCACCAACATAATTTATGCTCATACTCATAATAAACAGAAGGTTTTGGGATCATCACATCCAGTTGTTTTTTTTTCCTTGAAAGCTCTGACTCTCAGACAGGTACTGGGATTTAAAATTAGCAGCCAAGCTGAGATAATGAGGACTTTTTAATACCTGCCAGGAAAGACCAATGAAATTTTTTGTTTTAGTGCATATTTGTAATTGGTCTAAATGATTAATTTGTTGAAAGGCAAAAGTTTGTTCAAATGTTGTACATGTATATGATTTCAAAATGTCCTAGGTCAAACTGTACTTTGGGACATGATCCATCATTACATCGCATGTTCATGTATTTATAGCTGAAATTACTAGTATTGGTCAGAGAAAAAATTGGGAGACCCCTAAGAGCTGGTCAAGCGCAGTAGATTGCTGGCAGCTGTTACCGAGGAAAGTTTTCCTTTAATTTGATGACAAAATGAGTGTCTAACAAGTGTCCACCCAGTTCAAGGTACTAAACTCTCAAGGACTTCGACAAATGCGGAGCTTCCGAGACATGCGTGTCAACATGTCAGATACGAATCGCGTCTCGCGTGTGAGAAAGATTCCAAAATCCTCCAGGCGAGTCATCGCAATTGTCCCAAACCGTCCCCGAGACAAATGGTCCAACCGAACGTGACAGCTTCCTACTAGCAGCTGAAATTGTCAAGAATGATCACAAAGAGGGGAGGGGGGACTTTTTTATTCCCCTGGATAGTTGCCGAAATGATTACCCATAAGCAGGGTGAGGGGGGAAGGGCTAATTTCCTCGACATGGCCGCTAAGTGTTAAACCGCAAATTGAGACACTGCCATAAATAAATTGGCGTTCCCTTCACGTTATTTCCTCCCGTCTTGTAGACAAATCTGTGAAGTTTTCAGATAGCCTAGTAAGATAGAAGATGACATCGTCATATTTTTACAACAAACTTTTCTTGACGGGCGTTTCCGTCGCTAAATGGTAGAGGTCTTCATCAGAGTTCACAGTTGTCATTTTAAAGGAAACATGCAGTCCAAAATTTTCATAACGTATTTTATTTTATATATACATTCATTTATGTGTATTAAATGTGAATTAAAAGCAGAACTGGTTCTGGTGTACGTTTAGTGTGGTAATTTGCCGTCCAAAATTCAACCCCCCCTTTTTGATTTTCGCGGCAACTCCAAATGAGGGCGCTGTTCATGACATAAACAAAGGCAGAGAAATCCAGGGCCCGTAAATGACGTCTGGGTACGAGACGGATTAGCGAAGCTACTGTGCTGTGTGTATGTGCAGCCGCCGCGTACCCGTACGTGGCATTATATGCACACGTACGAATGTGTCTACATGGGATATGTACAGTACACGTGGACGTGCCACGGTGCCACCGTTGTCGAATGAACACAACGACGACCGTCATGACCGTAAAAGTTCCGAAGACCGTCCTCTTCTTTCCTTAGCGAATCCAATGAAAATGGTACAGATTCGTCCGATTCGAATCAGAGTTCTAATGATTCAGACACTGACTCGATGTTTTTTTAGGGGCATGCCCAAGTTGCTGTACAGACCAGCATCAAAGCACGACGGCTCAAAGTGCAGCGCAGAGGGCAGCGAACTCACTGGGCCCGGACCACTTTGCTCTGGTATTTACCTTCGCTTTGGCTCTCCAAATGCTCCGATATTTCGGATTTACTGGAAACAAATCAAGGCTTACTCCATCCTTGGTAGTTTCCTACACCCAGCAGCCACACACCTTGTCGGCATGGCCGAAAATCGGGTGTTATTTCTCCTCGATTCCGAACGAAACACCAGAAAAACTTTCAGTGCCGCAATGTATATGTACATGTATTGGTGCCCCCGCAGCGCGGCAAGTCCCTGCCTTCGCTTGCGTCATACCCCTCGCGAAGTTTTATGTTAATGAAGCTTCCCTTTGTGGGGCGGAGTAGTTTGACCAAACATGTTCACAAATTATTTTCCCCCATTTATCTTAGAAAATAAACACCGCCATACACAAAATATTGTTAAGAACATCATCCTTTATTGATTTTAGCAAAAAAAATGCAATCAAAATTTTATTTCATGTTCCCTTTAAATAGCGTTCATATCTCTCAAACAGTGCTCACAAGGGATTTATAAAGTATTGTTTTTGTATTTATTAATTTTTTTTCAAAATTTCTTGCCAGAGAAAAAACTAGGGTAAAGTTCTCAAACAACTTAGGTCATAAGTAGGCTTGGATGATTCCAACACTTTTAGAATTTATTCCAATTCTGTTCGAGAGTCAATATTGTGTTCAGAGTCTACTCCAAAATTCCTGCGGAAAAATGGAAAAAAGAATAATAATATTTACTACTGAAATGTGGTTCGTTGTATTGTCATGTCATTAAGTTGTAGAATTGTCCAACATTTGGAGTCAGCTCATCTTCAGAACTGTTGGGCACTTCCTTGAATCGACTCTCCAGAATTAGCTATGAAAGAAAGCGATTCCTCACCATTTCTTTCCAAATTTAGAATCAATTATTTTTGATATTGGGTCAAGACGCATAAAGCTGAGTCTCTTTTATTTTATTTTATTTATCATTATTTTTTTTTTAGGGGGAGGGGGCTTTGTATTTTGATGACCATACATGGTGACTGCTGCAGTTTTTGACAGACATGAACTGAAAAGCTGATGATCCACAGGATTATTCCCAGTGCTTAACCAAAGTCAACAAAGCTCCCGCGAGGGGTCAAGTCCAAGAGGAGCTGACAGAAGGTGTTAAAGAAAGATGAGCCAGGAAGTTAACTCCACCCCAAAAGGAATTACTACGAAAAGATAAAACTGATGCATTCATCAGTATGCATTTGTAGTCACTGTATATGTTGTGCCTGAAACCGCCCAATCTACTACTCGCACTGAACACTATTACTCGCACTGAACACTCTATGGTTTTATAGATTCAGCAGTGAATTAACAAAATGTAAAACAATGCACAGGGTGGCTGAAAAAGAAACCCACTTTTGACAGGAATTTTAACCTACCTACTTAACTTATTTGAACTGGTTTTTCTTTATAATGTAGTGAAGTATAGCTCTTCAATCATACGTGGTGAAAAAAATATCGCAATAGAGTTATTATGCTAATTTAAATACAAGTCACCAAAATCACTGTTGTCCACGTGTAAGACTAGTGTAAGTGAGTTTGTCTTCAAATCAAGCTCTGGGGCTCAGTCAAGCGGATGGAATAAAGCCGTCCATGGACAAACAGGTTTGGCACATGAAATATTTTAAGTACCATGTCTCAGAGACAAAATGTGCATTTGCAATCATTTTTTTCGTCAGTTACGTTTAAAGTTCAATATTTTAATACCATTAAATATATTTTTTGAAATATGCTCAACAAGTAGATTCAAATTGCTGTCAAAAGTGGGTTTCCTTCTTTTTGCACCACCCTGTAGTTCACTTGCTAACTGGTTAAAAAATAAACTATCGGTATTCTCAATATATTTCTATCAATTTATTCCCCCCCCCCCCCCCCCCCCCCCCCCCGCCCTCACACAAATACAACAAATTAGCTCTGAGGCTGTACTACATTGTCATACATAAAACCATAGGGTGCTTGGGCAGGTTTTGGTAGTTTAGGGAGAATAACAGTAACAGGAAGGGTGGTTAAACTTCTTCTTTTAAAATTATTTTTATCAAATAAATCTAACAGGAGAACTGACTACGTGCATCAATTTGATATTGAACAATATACTTTGTAGAGGAGGGTCTCAACTGTACTTTTCCAACTGAGCTATCTAGGCCTCTGTTGGAAGTCTCCCAACTTGTCAATATCTTTGTGCAATTAAGTTTTATTGGGATGGAAAGGATGACACCATTTCTGTTTCGCTAGAGAAAGCACACAAAAAAACAACTTTGTCCAAGGAAGATAAGTGACTATTCGTTATTCAGCAGATACATGTAATATCCTTTGTCCGGATACAACAGCTGTTGTAGATAGAAACAATTACGGCATTAAACCACAACGAAAAGTTGTATTTACTGCTTCCGAGTGACGAAAGATCTTTCTGAGTAGCGAAAGATTGCTCAAAGCAAAGCGCAACTAAACAATCAACTTTGCTGAGTCACAAACTGTTGTCCTACTTCTGCATCTGGGCAATTTCAGAAGGAGATTCAGAAGGGATTTCCACAGTTAACTTTGTACTGTTATTCTATAAAGTCAAAGTATTTAAAGTGGATTTTCTCACACTATCCCTTGAACTTAAGAGACTTAACTACAAAAACATTGCAAACAAAATAAACTTCTGTTCATTTGGCAATCA